CATCTTGAGGATATCCCCTCTTGACGATGTCATAGAGATCCAAAAGTATTCAAAATCATTTAAAATATTGAAAACTATTTAAATGGGCAGTATGTTGCCTCAAGAAGGTCCTGGGTTCGAATCCACCATCGGGGCCTTTCATTGTGGAGTTTGGATAGTCTCTCTGTATATGCATGGGTTCTGTCCAGGTACTCCAGCTTTCTCCCACAGCCCAAGACATGCAGTTAGTGGGGTTAGGTTAACTGTTAGTTCCGAATGACTGTTAGTGTGTATGGCTGTCTGTCTCTCTGTTTCAAGAGATGCAAACAACATGCTTTATTTGCATGTTGTTGTTTTTCCTTTTCTTTTTAAGGAGCTTGAAAAGAAAACCTTCAAGGGGCCTAAAAAAGTTTCAAGAAAGCTCCTTTGATTACTATGACCTGGATGACTGAGAACCTACACAGACTTTTCTTTTTTTTCCTTTTAGATATAATTATTTGAGATTAGCATTAGGAAGCAAAGCTGGGAGGATGTGAATCGAGTGCAGTTAGCTGGGAAGTATGTGGGTCACTAAAACATATTCACTGCACTTAGTTGGCATTTCTTAACTTCCCTTTTCCTTTTTCTTCCCCCGGCTCTCAATGCTGTCGTCAGAGAAGAATGTGCTCTGCCTTGTGGGAGGCAAGTGTGCGTTCAGTGCAGCAGGGTCCACTTCCTGAGCCCTGGTCAGCGAGTCCAAATGTCTGATAGTGAGCTGGCTGTGAGGCTGCTGGGTATAGACAGCTGCAGGATTTAAGGCCACTGCTCTGCTTAGTTTCTTCTGTCTGGGAGATTAAGGAGCCTGGATGTAACTACAGTACATGAAAGGCTAGGTGTTTCTAGCCAGCTAATAGCTTATCAGATTGAAGTGGCTGTGTGGATGTTAGACCACACAATTATCGACAGGTCCAACTGAATTGTCTTTGCATATCATTTAGTCCTTTGGAATTTAAACAGAACAACTTGTGGTCTGTATGTTGTCTCTCAGAAGAACTGAGCTATTCTAGTATTCTACTTTGTAATTAAGTACAGTAATTAATAGTTGCACATGGTGAAGAAGTGAAATGTTAAATATTTCTAACAGTGGTTTATTTAGCATAACTGCCGATGGTTATTGCATTTGAAGAAAAAACAGAGCACCACCTACAGAGTCTTAAATTGGATTCAGGAGGGGCTCTCTCCTCCACAGCCGCTGCTCCTCCACATGAAAAGGAACTAGGTGAGGTGGTTCAGGCATCTGACAAGGATGGCTCCTTGACGCCTCCTGGGTGAGGTGTTCCAGGCATGTTCCAATGGGAGGAGGCCCTGGGGTAGAACCAAAACACGCTGGAGAAATCTCTTGTCTGGTTTGTGAACGCCTTGGTGTTGCCCTGGACAAGTGGAAGAAAATGGATGAATGGAAACACTGTCCAGTAATAGCTCTAACTAACATGGTCACTGTATCAGGTTATCATAAAATCTTGATTCCCGGTGGTTACATTTTTAATATTTTCCACCGTTAACTGAACTGCCAACTGAATCTGAAAAAACAGCTACTATTATTTTGTCTCCAAAACTTTTACATAGTGTGATCTCTAAAGTTAAACCTGGGTTTGGGTGCACTTTCATGGAATACCAGTTTGTACCTTTATCTCCACCAGCACCAATAAAAGAAACGGTGATGTACCCAGCAAAACAAGAGCTCTTGGAAAGTGAAGTGAAATAATGATGATGGCCTGATCACAATGTTGGGGCGTGCTGGGTGTTTATATATATATATATTATATATAATATATATAGTATATATATATATATATATTATATATATATATATTATAATTATAAGCCATTAAAGTCAATACTACGTCATGGTAACAAACACTTTTGCATTGGTGCTGTGTTGATACAGGGGGACATCTGGTCTTGTTTTTGGTTTGTTGGCCGTGAGAGCATTTTAGTCGCTAAAACCTTTTTCCTCCTCACTTTGTGTTCATTATAGTGGAACAGCCTGGGACTTCGGGGTAAGTTGTAAGTGGTCTATAGTGTTAAATGAAGCCTGTCTTCATTCTCCATGTTTCAACTAGACATTGGTAACATCTGAGCATCTTTGGTCAACAGATTCCTAGAACGTGCCATAGAGATGTTCTGTTTGTTTAATTACCTGAGCAAGTCTTGTGCTACTTCAATACTGCAAAATGCCTCATCCATTAGATGCTTTTGTTAATTTTGGTTATAAGATAACTCTTCAGATAGCTTTTTTAAATGCAAACCCTTTGAATTTATTCATACATTTAAGTAAAGTCTTCAGTGCTCCGTTTGTGGCATTCAGTGCAGTGATCTCACTTGATGTTTCATAGAAATTAGGATTAAAGAGATAGATAAATATATTTGTTTTAAGGAAGGAAAATAAAGAAAAATGACATGAACTTATAAACGTGCTATAGCTAAACTTGTCAGCACATAGCAAAGGGGATGTTTAATTATAATTAATGGGTAAACTGTGGTAATTATTTGTCAGTACTTGAAACAAAGTTAAGAAACTTTTTAAAAATAATTTTAAAGTAATGACTAAACGGCCAAAATATTCGAAATTAATAAATTTATTGAGCCGTTAAGCTAGTCAGTTAATAGTTAGCTTGAAATATTAGAAATTAGAGTTAAAACTGCACAAATGCATAATTGAGCATAACAAAAAAACACTGACATTTCAGTTATTGTTCAATGTTATTATTGACAGGTCCAACTGAATTGTCTTTCAAAACCCTCATTCAAAACAACACGTGATGCATGGTGTCATTACTGAAGTTCTTGGGGTCGTTAGGGAAAATCAGGCAAGAATGCCCAAAGTAGTTACCTCAAATGATACACAGGCTTTCTGAGTTTTAAAATATGCAGTTTTCTGTGGATAACAGGTGTATTATGCAGTTTCCTAGGTCTCAAGGTTCAGTTGTTGTGGGGTGACTGGGTTCAGAGTTGGGGGGGTTCCAGCGAAGCAGACGGATGACTTAGGGAAACTCGTCTGCTAGTATTTAAAGCAGTGCCCGTAGCTAGAGGTGGATGTCACTGGGACACAGAGAATCCTGATTTTACATTGTTTTTAATCTAGAATTTCTCTTGTCTGAAGCATAAATGCTTTTAAATCAAGACAGCCAGAAGAGCACAACAGCAATTTCCTGTTGCTTTTGAAGGATTCTTGCTTCTTCTCGTTCACTGGCATTTATTAGAGTGAACATTTTCTGACTTACTGTGTTGTCTGGAATAACTCTAAAGAAGCTTTGGGAGTTCCCCCGAATGATAAAGACTATGTGTTCCTCTGACTTTCGGTCCATCCTTGTTATCAGAGTTTTAATTTGTACTTTGGTTTATGACGGAATGGCTGTAAAACTGATATAGAACCTAACAACATAAGTGCGTTTAGTGTTTACAACATTAATCCTTACATGACAAATATCTAAACTATCATGGTGAATTACTGTTGTGTAAAAAAGTGACTGTGATAAGAAATAAAATGAAAATAACTGTTGCCACATTTTGCAGGGACCACTAGGTAATAAACAACTGTGGACAGTTTGATTTAAACAATGAGCAATAAAGCCTCTCAGTTGCTGGCTGACTGTAAACTCTTGGCACACTGAGATAAACACGTCTCCTCAAGTGTGACTTTAAAAAGGGAGAAGCTGGTGACAGTGTTGTCCAGATTAATCCTAAAATCACAACCACACTGGTGTTTTTCTTTGGAACTTCATAGCATCTGTTTCATTTGGAAACCTGAGATCGCTTAATACTCTGCCAGCATGGGGTGAGGTGAGGAGAATAAAATCCCAGCAACAACCCTGAAACTTGACACAAGGGTTTCCTGTTAGTCGTGTAAAAAAACAGACAACAAAAGCATTCCAGCTCCAGTTGGTCTTTTCCCACAAGTTTCACCTGACTTAGCTTCAGAGTCAACAACTTTTTATATGGCTTGTGTCACATGTGCTGACCTGTTGTTCACCTGAAGGCATTTCTGGTCTCTATTGTTATCTGGTATTGGATGTGTGATGTCTTAAAGAGAAAGTTCCCAGTTCCCAGCAGTCTTTTGTACAAAAACATGTCACTCTCGCCTTTTTCCCTATAGTCATGACAAACACACTAACAGAATAGCTTTGTTCACAGCAATTCTTATTTACCTTTTAAGGGGCCTTGGTATAGTCCATCCATTGTCTAAAACAAACTTTTTTGGCTTTCCCCCTGCATTAAAATGAACTTTCTTCTCATTGGCTGGCTTTTGCAAAGAAACAGTTTGAACAGCAGGTGAGTAGGGCTTGCACAGTCGGAGCTGTTAATCTGAGATGACCATGTTATGATTGTCCCCTCTCACTGATGCCAGTTAGAGTAAACTTGAACCTTTGGCTCACAGGTATGACTTACTAACGACCTCAGTATTTGAAAATTAATAATAATGTATTTTGTATCTTGTGTGTTCTGTCACCAAATGGTTTATTTGCTTCTTTTCCATCTACGAAGGAAATCATACGAGGAATGTGTAAATGTATAGACTATGTACGTAAGAAGCATTTGTAAAGCCCGAGTTCAGTAGATTCAAATACAAAGTACAGCAGGAGTAAAATGGCCAAGATGTAAAAAAGGGAACTCATGACGTTGGTAAGGCATGTGATGACTGGTTGCCTAGTAAGCTGTACAGTCTGTGTGTATCCTTGAGTAAATGTGTGCATCGATACAGAAACAATAGTGTTCTGTTATTGCAACATGACCCTTTGTTTAGCGGTTAGTGTCTGTAGTGTAAAGTATTTTCCTGGAGACAGTTGTGCAAGGTGTTTTTTTCCTTCCCTGTATCTACTATTGTGGGGTCTACCTTACAATATAAAGCACCTTGAGGCAACTGTTGTTGTGATTTGCCGCTATATAAATAATATTGAATTGAATTGAATTCAACTGAATTGAATTGAAATATAATAGAATCATGACATTCATTCTGTCTTCCCACTGTGTGTCTCCTGCAGCATGGGTGGGCTCCCTCTCCATGGGCATGATCTTCTTCTGCTCTCCCATCGTCAGCATATTCACCGACATGCTCGGCTGCAGAATTGTTGCAGTGGGTGGTGCTGCTGTGGGTCTGGTCGGCCTACTGGGTAGCTCCTTTGTCACGTAAGGAAGTTTTCCAACTCACAACTGCATAAGAATTTATTTTAAATTTCTTAAGATAGCATGCTTTTGCTTTATGTATAATTCTTTTGTAGCACCTTTTAACTGTTATTTAACTTTGCACGTACAGGCAAAAACTTAGTATTATAGGATATCAGGCCTGTCTCGCTTCACTTTTTTGTCACATGACAAAATATGCATACAGTGTTTTCCACTGAAAAAGATTGTATTTGGGGCAGTAACAAGGCACCCATGATTTCTTATATGGTTTCCACAACTATAATATATCATGCTTTTTAGAAACTTCTAAGTTAACATTTTGGGCTGCATGTTGTGAGGGCAAAATGCATAGACACATGCTAACTAGTACTAAGTAACAAATGAAATACAGGACATTCACTCATCTAAAGTCAAACGCAAATGTCTTGGATGCACTGTATCTTGCAGCACAACACATTTACCCTAAATATCAAATACCAATATCACAAACATAGTGAAGAGGTCAAACTCAGTGACTCTGTTCACTTGGCGAAACTTTCAAAATGAGAGCAAGGGGACTGTACTGTAGTCCTGTTGGTTAATTGAATGGTAAAAATAAAAATAAAAATCAGTGTAACTGTGTGGTCTGCCTGATTTTATTTGATCAATTCGATGAGTCAGTTTGATCTCCCAAAACAAAACATTTTATATAAAATGATGACTTCATGGTAAAAATGACCTCGAATCTCATTGTGGCCTACAAGTGAGGAAACACTCACACAGTCATATGTGGTTCAAGCAACGCAACAAGTGCAACGCACACACTTTATCACTAGAGTAAGCAATAAAACTGCTGAATTACAGCTGGTCAAATGACAGAAACTGTGGTCAGGAAGCTGAGTTCTCAGGGTGCAGACTTACTATGTGACTGCTATTGGCACTTAGATATTTATTTAAGCCAAACAGAACTTTGAAACTCACTGTGTGCAAAACCATTTCCAAAAACGCTAGGCCCCTGTATAAAATGTAAGTAAAAAGAGAATGCAGTGATTGGCAAAGCTCATAAACCTATAAAATATTTTACGAACAGTGGAACTAAGAACATGTACTATTTTAAGGAAAAGGCATTTGGTCATTTTGAATTTGGTGGCAGCAACATGCTGTCTGTCACTTTTCATGAAATAGTAAAATGACTTAGTTTAAACAATTGATAACTTTTATAATTATGAGTCACTGACAATGTACACCAATATGCACCATCGGTTAGAATGTGTCATAATGTGTTAAAAATATTTAAACTAATTATTTGTTGTCACTGAAGTTATAGCAAATTAACTTAATGTGAGAACGAGTTAGGAGACTTACTCTGTATTTGATTTATGTGAATGAGAATTGTGTTACTGCGTTGCATTTGATTTAACCTAATACGTGATAAAGCTTCTTGAAACAAAAATCTGTATCATAATTTAAACAACATTTTTTTGGACCTTTAAAGACATTTGACATCTTATTTTATAGTTGCTGCTGCTAAGAACTGATTCTTTTCTGGGAAATATCTTGCAGATGAATTGGCAACTCTGAATGAATCGACTGTACACTGATATTATTTATTTGCTCCTAGGTCCCTGGACCTCATGTACTTCACATACGGCATTGTGTTCTCCTGCGGCTGCTCTTTCGCCTACCAGCCAAGCCTGGTCATCCTTGGCCATTACTTTAAGAAGCGCCTTGGCCTCGTAAATGGTATTGTAACAGCCGGCAGCAGCGCCTTCACGATCGCTATGCCCTTTGTGCTGTCAGCCTTACTGAAAAACATAGGCCTATACTCCACCCTGCGTGTCCTCTGCATCCTCATGCTTGTGCTGATGCTGGCTGGCTTCACTTACAAGCCCCTGCTGCCGGTCAAACCGAAAGACTCCCAAACAGGCAGCTCACACCTAAAACAGATTTTCAACGTCAATATCTGGAAGTCGTGGGGATATCGCATCTGGGCCTTCGGCATTCCTGCTGCCCTCTATGGCTACTTTGTGCCTTATGTTCATCTGGTAAGTACTTATCACTTCTTTCATCTGCTGTGTTAATAATATTTATGCTGGCATTCATACTTACTGTTTGTGTATGTGCCGTTCACTCCCCTCCAAACAAGGGGTTGGTAATGATCCATTTGACATATGGGAGCATGCCAATTCCAAGATTCCACAGTGTGATTTTGCAACTATCCTACTCCTTGGTTCTGGATCTCATTATTGGCATGGTTAACAAGGAATAAGGGTGAGAGGTTAGCTAGCTTCAACAGCACAGTCATCAAAACTCATAACAGCTATGTGAATAACAGAACTGTGAAAGGGGAGAGGAAGGGAAGTTGAAACCATGGCAGGATCTTCCAGACATTCAGTGGTGGCACAGAGTGTTACTGTCTTTTAATATTTTGCTTTTTGGCAACTGTGATCAATTAAAAATTTTATTTAAGGGAGGATGCAAAAGGAGACAGAAAAACACATCATTTGAGAACGTTTCCAGAGTTCCATCACGTGCACCAGTGTTATATCAGACGAATTTTCTCCAAGTGTGCACTTCAATATCACTATAATCCCAAGGACAAAACATCTAAACGCAAGCTAGACAGCTAAGTGCATGCTGAAGATGCATGGGACAGGATAGGAGAGCCAGCTCTTCAAGACAAGACTCAGCTGAACATCTGCACCCAAACAGAGAGAGGGCACTCCTTTGAGAATTCTAATGTTCACAGTTTGGAAACATGGTTTGAGAGAAGAGTCATCATTAGACTATCAGTCATTCTAATATGTGTGTGTGTAATATGTGGCTGTAATAATTCACATGATGGCAGGGTGGAGCAGTGTCGCACAAAGAGTTCACACCTTGCCTTGTGAGACCCTTAATGATTTGAAATGATGGGGATTCCAGTAGAAATGTTGGTGCTTTGCGCACGGCTTATTTGGCACGATACAAATGCACAAAAGTGGCACAAAGATTACAGTTTTACTATTGCAGGCTTTTCTTGACACCGAATTATCTTTGCTGTGCATGACGTGTCCATACCACCGTTGGCGTGCTTCCCTCATCATCTTTTCGATTGGGGCAACTCTGAGTCATTTTCGAACATCTTCATTTGTCACACAATCCGGGCGGGTTAAGCCCAGACATCCACCTGAGCATCTTCATCTCCATGGAGGATCTGCTCGTGTTTCTTGGTGGCTGGCCAGCATTCCGCTCCATATAGGGCCACCGGCCATAGGACTGTCTTGTAGATCTTGGCTTTAAGGTGTTCAGGCATCCTCTTATCGCACAGGATGCCGGTGGATTTACGCCATTTAAGCCATGCTGTGTTGACTCGTGAGCACACATCCGGGAGAGTCTCGCCGTCCGCCGAGACCAGGGACCTGAGATATTTGAATTGGGCGGTCTTCTTTAACTCCTGGCCGTCGATCTGGATCAATCCCAGGATCTGAGGGCCACATTCTAGGTATTCCGTTTTCTTGGTGTTCAGGTGCATTCCACTTTCTTTCAGCTGGTCCTTCCATTCCTGCGACTGCTCTTGTAGAGGCAGGCGGTCTGGGTCTGCGAGTGCCACATCGTCTGCTTAAAGGAGGGTCCAAGGTATTGGTTATTGTAATGCTGTGTTCATGCAGAGGATGAACAGCAGGGCTGAGCTTTGGTGGACGCCTAAACGGTGGTGAGGTCTCCCTGCATTATAATGTTTTTTAAAAAATACTTACCTGCACTGCCTGCAGAGCCATGGGTCCATCAGCGCAATGCAAGATGCAAGATTAGATTGATGTATGCAATTAAAATGAACACAAGGCCAAATTGCTTAAGATGGCGCATTTAAAGAATAGCTCAACAAACACAGTTTGCTAATGTATTTGTGCACAATCCTGAATTATAAATTGGAATTTATTGTAATAAAGGTCTCTGTGTGTAATTGTGACATGGTCCACTTATGGTCAATTTTGGGCTACTTTTACATATTATATTTTACTAGATATTTAGTTCACCTTTCTTAATACAATGATACTTTTCTAGAACTACTGAGCCATTTTGAAATATAACTATTCAGTGCTTTCAACAACATAAATACAATATAGTGTGACTCTACAGCATTGGCAAAGAGCCCTGACTCTCAAAGACAGACATATTAAAAACAAAACAAAACAAAACATGATTAAAGAAAATCAGTCTCGGCAGGTAGATGTCAGCTGATTTTGTAGTGTGGGTTGCCTGGCTCTTTTTTCACCACAACAACTTCCTAGTTCCTCATGTGTTCATTATTTAGCTGTGTGGTCCTGGTGAATGTGGCATAATATGGAAGGAGGATTTAATCTGCAGTTCCGTAAACATGTGTCGCTTTCCCTATATCAGTGTTTATTTCTGCTTTAAGATAGGAAACTTTGAGCTTAGAGAAAACGTCTTGGGAGGGCTGCAGAAGGGGAGCCTGTATGTACTGGAAAGACTCAGGAGATGCCTGTTTATTTGGAGACGGTGACTTTGTTATTGGAGGGAGATCAGAGTGTCCTGTGGATCAATGCCTGTGTTTTCCCAACACTTCTCATGTCTGCTACACAGACTGGGATAACACTTGGATCTGGCTGAAGCCTCAGCACCAGCACTGGACTAACAGCCTCGGCAGCCATTCTTCCCCCCTACCTGCACCTAAAGCCCCAGCCCTGTGGGATGGAAAAGCAGAAAAACATGCGTCCAGCAGCATATTGTTCGGCTTGTTGGAACGGAGTCCTGTCAGATCCTCCAAACAGCTGTATACTTTTTATTTTTTTATAGTGTCTATTTCCTTGAGCAAAGTGCTGAGCGCGGCCTTTTGAAATAGCCTTGCCCTAGTACCACGTATGTTTTTCATCTTGCTTACCTCTTTACTTAAAGAGTAAAGTCCAGTTCTCAACTTATTGCTGATTAGAGAAAAAAGAAGTTGCCTTTGTGTTTGCTCTGTAAATGGCTTGATAAAAGGTATGCTATTGCTTTGCCAAGTGCAAAGTGGGAAAGGAATTTGTGAAAATTGTGCAATTTGCTGAAGGCCAATATGTTAGAAAGTTTGATCTTATCATCAAGACAGATAATCCATGTCCTCCCTTTCCTGAATCAACATAATTGAATCATGGAACACCATAAAGGACCATTCAGAGCCGTACTTTTCTTCAGATAGCTGTGTCTACTTTTAAAATAAGCTTGTTTCATTTTTTTAATGAGGAGCACCTGCAGGGCTGCAGTGTGTGGGCTGGATGTTTGATGATCATTACACATCTGCGAGAGAGTAGGAGAACGACAGCACTTGGGAAGGTTGGGTTGGTGCACTGGGCCTCTAAAGGGGAAAACTCTCCCTATAATTGAAATGTATTTTGTGTTAAGGTGCTCTAGTTTGTTACCTTGCTAAATCCACCAACTATAGATTTCTTTGTTAGACATCTGAACTAGTCATAAGTAGCAGCTCAGGTTATTGAGAACTTCAGTGATTGTTATGCTTAATATAATGTCATCAGCTATGCATGCTGGGTGAGAATTTATGAGATGAACCACTTTATTTTTCTTTACATTTATATATCGGTTGGAGCAGGAAGCTTTGAAAATGTAACCTAACCTGATAATGTGGGAATGAGTCAGATAGGGAATATCTAAAAAAAGATCCACGATCATTTACCAGCTGTATAGCTGTGAACAAAGGATCTTTGTTTGACTGATAGTTCGCTGGTATCATAGATCTCATCATGGCAGTGAGTAGGTGATGCTAGGTTGTAGCTCATACACTTCCATATTATCTTACATATTTGCTATATGACTCTCTTGGTCTGCTTTTCCTGACTGAACCACATTCTCCATAAGGTATTCACTACTGTATGACACATGAGGAATATCAATCACCCTCAGAAGGCTAGGCTGAAGCAATAAATTTCAACAATTATCAACCGTCCACTGGTTTATGTCTGATAATGTGATCGTGTGATTGAGGGAGCAGCACGTTTGTCACGTGAACCTTCCAAGCAGAATTCTAGGTGGCAAAGTTCAAGATACATCTAACTTCACTTTAAAACTATCCTCCCTCTGGTCAGCCTCAACTGAGTGTGTGTGTATCATAAGTTAATCTCCTGACACTTATACAAACAAACAAAGATGTGTGTAGCATTGCTTCTTGGATGTAAGACTTCCTAAAGACAGAGCATGTTGTTGTACATTGGCAAAGAATGTAAGTCTCCCAGAGGTCTTAGGGATGTATGTGTGTCTGCCAGAAAGTGTAGGGGGTGATGGTGATGGGTCTATACATCAGCAGACTGCAGGTCCTTTGAAGAGGTCTGCTGCACATTGCCTGGAGGTAGAAACACAGCAGGCCCCTCTTTCTCTTCACGGTCCTCACAGATTAATGCTTAGCAGTAGGAATGACGTGGCTACAGGAGATAATGTGGAAAGCCAACATCTGGACAGTGTAAACTAGAAAACGGCATTCGCTGGAAGCTGAAATACAAATGAGCACTGAAATATGGACAAGCTAGATAAAAGGATCTGATGATATGATAACAACAAACTGACCTGTTGCCTGAAATATGGCTGCTGTCATATAAATAAAAGGATTTGTAAAACCAGACATTTTTTTGAACCCAGTTCTGCAAAACCATTCAACCCCAGATTTCTGAAAAACGCATGCAGAATGTGAAGTAAAAGATACATTGAGTGAAAAATTTAGTGAATTTTCCCTCTCTTCATTCAACTATATGCATCCACAGGAGTGCAGCGCAGTGCTGACAGACTTATAAAAAACAAAGACCACACCAGGTGTCACTCCTGTCAACCAAGAACAGAAAACTGATGCTACAGGTTGGCAGAGTCACCTTTTATCATCAAACTGGTTTCTCAAACATGCCAATGAGTTCACTGTACTCAAATGGCTTCCTCAGCCACCTCCTCCTAATCCAATAGAGCACCTTTAGGATGAGGTAGCACAGGGGATTTGCATTATGGATGTACAGCCAACAAATCTGCAGCAACTGTGCGATGCTGTCGAGGCAACAAGGACCAAAATCTCTGAGGAATATTTGCAGCACCTTGGTAAACCTTTGCCATGAAGAATTTAAGTAATCCTAAGGCAAAAGGAGGTACAACCCGGTACCAGAAAGGTGTACCTAGTTAAGTGTCCAGTGAGGTTAGATCTCAGGCAAATATCTTCATGTAGTTAACACACAAATCCACAATGACTAAGCAAAGAGCACTGTCCAATGAGGTTTTAGTCAGTGGTTGCAGTTTCACAGTTTGTATTGTAATTCTTTGTGCTGTACTGTGCATCATATAACTGCAGTAAACTAAAGAAATGAAACAGCTGTGTTCATCTTTCGTTTACTGTCCACAGATGAAACACGTGGAGGAGCGTTTTGGAAAAGAGACCAATAAGGAAGTTTTGCTCATGTGCATTGGTATAACATCTGGCATTGGCCGACTGATCTTCGGCATAGTGGCGGATTACATTAACGGAGTCAACAAAGTGTTCCTGCAAGTGAGTGTGTGGCCTCAAAAGTCGTGTAAGCAGATTTACATTGTCTGAATGCAGAAGTTCTGACCATTAAAAATTCTCTGAAATAGCATTTTAAGGATCATGTGAGGATCATGGCACAGTGAGACCTTTAAGCCAGTTAAAGGTCTTACAATAGGGGGTGAAGATTTAACATTACATGAGCCTTCTCGTGTAACGTTAAAGTAAAATGAGGGGTTTCTTTTGGTTTTGCATCCAATCTGAATATATAGAGTGTACTAAACCATAACAATTAACAAAATAATCTCTCTACTTAGGTGGCGTCCTTCTTCGTCATCGGTCTCATGTCCATGATGATCCCCCTGTGCAATGTGTTTGGCGGGCTTATCGCAGTGTGTCTGCTGATGGGACTGTTTGACGGCTGCTTCATCTGCATCATGGCACCTATCGCCTTTGAGTTGGTTGGAGCCAAAGATGTGTCCCAGGCCATTGGCTTCCTGCTAGGCCTGATGTCTGTGCCCATGACTGTGGGGCCCCCTATTGCAGGTAAAGCAGGAGTTAACTGAAATTTGTGATCATGCTCAGGTAACCCCTGAACATATGACACATGCCCACACTAAACTGATGATCTAATAATATGGCAGTTTAGTCATTTTGGATCCTTGGCCTTAACTAGCTTCAAAAATCTAGCACATGCATACTTTTATATATAAGCCTCTTTGGGGTAATTCCAACTGTGTAGTGATGTGTACCTACAAAAAGGACATTCAGTGAGCTGGTGAGTGCACAAGGATCACTGACGCATTTCCGCATTTTACCTTGTCTTGTACAAAGAGCTAATGCAGCACAATCTGGTTAAAGCCTTAATGCTGTCTTTCTGTGATACGAAGGTGTCTGAACACAGGGCATCACAGCTTGCTGTGCATGAGATTGTAGCTGCAATACTGGTCAGAGTGCTCATGCTGAGCCCTGTACTAAAGCTGAAGATCTTACACTGAGCAACGGAGGTTTTATTGTAGATACATCCTATCGGAAAGATCTGTTTCTTTTGATGTAAGCTTCCTGGGTTTATGACCCTTTGGTCAGCAGGAGGTCTAACACACACACATTCTCACATAGCACACACACACACACACACACACACACACGCACACACACTCTTACAGAAGTTCACACATTGGTCTTAGAACCAAGGGGGCGTGGCTTTGTTCTGACGTGTTTTGTGTGAACTGTCTCTCAATAAAAGGTAGCAGGAGGAGGTCAGATCTGGGGGTCATTTTCGTGGTGGACACAGACGAGGCCTCCCTTGCGCAAATAATCGATCGATCGATCGACTGTCTTGTTTTCTTCATGATGAATAAGTCTCTAGAATTAGCGGGGTTTCTGGAAACACAGACTCAACACCAGCGTATGCACTTATCTACACAGGGAAGAGGTGGCAGCAGGATGCATTATCAGACAAGCCAACAGAGGACATGGGACTCCTGGGCCAATTTTCTGCTGGAAACAGTTACGTGGGAGTTGCATTCCCAAGAGCATCTCCTAATATCACTGACCCCTTAAGGAGGATAATGCATTCCACCATTGGGAACATTGCTAAGAGTTCATAGTGTTCAGTTAATCTTCAGATTCCCCAGATGCTCAATCATGAGCACGATTGAGCATCTGTAGGATGCCCGATAGCTATGCTTTGGAAGGTGTGAGACATGCACACTGCTAGGCAGGTGGTTTCAGTATTGTGACTAATCAGTGTGTGTGTATGTTTCTAGCTGACGCTGTTTACATGTGGATTTTAAAAAATGCGAGACTTCTTCAGTGCTGAATGCCAAAGGTTCACTAAAGGTTTACTGCTAGCATGTGCATTTACTCATGTGAGCTTCATGTGCAGAGGGCTTCCTGGAAGACAATCAGTTGTTTTCAGTTTTCAGTTTTCAGTTTTATTTGTCATATGCAAGTTAGCACAGGGTCAACATTGCAATGAAATGTGTTTGACGAGCAGCAGTCACTCAGCAGCATGATACAGTAGGAGAAAATATAATAAAATAAAATAAAATAATAAAGAAAATAGAAAAATAGTAAGGAGCAAAATATTAGAGAGACATGGTAAAAGAGAAAAGATGACTAAATATATATGTATCTATAAATATAAATATATGTACACTAGTGATTAAATAAGAAAAGCTTGAAAAGAAATATGACGGGAGGGCAGATGGGATGTTGCACAGGAATGAGCAGCAGAAAATTACAGTATTACACTTTTAAATATAAATATCAATGACAATAAAGTGGAGTGACCAGTGCAGATTAAACAGAGTACTTGTGAAGCTGCAGGGTAGCTTCTGAGTGCTGTGTTGTGTGTGTTTAGTGTTGTGGTTGAGGTGTCGTATGGCTTGGTGGTAAAAACTGTTTTAAGTCTTGTAGTCCGAGCAGACAGGCTCCTGTAACGTCTGCCAGATGGTAACAAGGAGAACAGCTGATGTGCTGGGTGTCTGTGGTCCTTGATGATGCTGTGTGCTTTACGGAGGCATCGCTGGAGATAAATGTCCTGAATGGCAGGAAGCCTCGTGCCAGTGATGTGCTCTGCTGCCTTCACCACCCTCTGTAGTGATTTACGGCTGCTGGCAGAGCAGCTTCGTACCAAACTGTGTGTGTCGTGTGTGTGTGTGTGTGTGTGTGTGTCTGTCTGTCTGTGTTGTGTGTGTGTGTGTGTGTGTGTGTGTGTGTGTGTGTGTGTGTGTGTGTGTTAGAGCTGGAAGCCATCTTTATTAGGAGAGTTTACGTATGTAAAGAAGCCATACAGGTGACAAAAGTCAATGACATCTTGGTCAGCACCAGCTGTTAATCTTGCGATGTTTAGGAGTTCTGACACTTGTGTTTCTCTTTGTATTTGGATGTGATCGTAAACATTGACCTTTAGCTGTGTTTATTTGACCGTTTCCCCCCCCCTTTATCTGGTTGCAGGCTATCTGAGGGACAAAATGGGATATTACGACATGGCCTTCTACCTAGCAGGAGTCCCACCGATCATTGGCGGGGCCTTGCTGTGTCTGATACCCTGGGTGGAAGCCAAGCACAAGAGAAGAGAGAAAAAGGAGGCCGTGAAAGGGGAGCAGGACGCTGACCAGAAGATGATGAATCATGAAAAGGCTCAAGAAGTTGTGCAACACAAAGCAGGAGAGTCTGTCCTCTAAATACCCCTAGAGAGAGACTGACAGAGAGGTGCAGGGGGTCAGACTGAGGCTGCTGCTGCTCATTGATAGTATTAAGATACTCTGTGCATATCTGTGTTTAAGTGAAGACTGTTTTAAGTAGGAAAAAATGCCAAAGTGTTCAAACATATCAGAGTCATATGTTGAAGCTGAACGTAAATGTGATCCTGAAGAACTATGCATCAGACTGAACTAATCTTACATCAGGCAAGCTTGAAATTGTAGCTGAAAATGGGGAAAACTGGACATTTATTTTTTTGTCACAATAAGAGTTAGGCATGCAGTACTGTGTCAAGATCAACTCTGTCAGCAGCCATTCTCACTGGGCTTACTCTAATCTTAACATGGACTTTTCATCACTATCATACAGTTTTAGACATACAATTAAAACATGTTGTATAATATAACATACAGAAAAACATAGGAAACAATTTATGGTGTTAATTTAAATTTTTGTATAAGTTCATAGTGAACCAGTCTGCCAAAGATTTATATTTAACCCTGCCATCTTTATGTCCTCCAGTATGCTATGTAATCTGTTTTAGGGGTGCACTGATACAGCGGTCGGGGTTGGTTGATACCAGCATTTCTGCAAATAAATTGGCATATACTGATGTCCTGCCTAAAAGTTAACAAAAGCTGAAAAAAAACCCCCTGACACAAATGAAATAATATGCTATATTTGTTTTCCTGGACCAAACCGGGAACTAGATAACAACAAAAACTAATACAAATACTGTTATCTGCAGGCTTCCAGATGCTCTTTAAGACATCAATATCTGTATCAGTACCAGTATCTGTATTGCCGTTGATATTTGTACTGGTATCGGTCCTTTTGACAGTCAGTGCATCCCTAATCAATGATTGGTGTTTAAAAAGACACACAGTAACTATCGGCTCAGAGAAGTGCTCTAAAAAGTCTAGGTTTTTCTGTCTGACTCTGGAATCTGAGCTGTAAAGGTGCTTGTAAGGATGCAGCTTTGGGAAGCACAAAATGTCCTGTCAGAGATGCTGACCCAGCTTCCCTTCTGAGGTTGGATCTAGGAAATCTGATCATTTAAAGGCTGTTTAACTCACCAAGCAGAGCTTGGCACCCAAAAGCTCTAAGTTCACCACACTGAGCCCGTAATTCTTTCCCTTGAAAAATTCAAAATAAACTGCACAATACATTTTTTTTAAATACCAGAGGTAGCAAATATATGGTACAAATTAAAAGTCATATAAGATAATTAAAATTTACTTAATTTTTAAACAAATTTGTCTGATGGTTCAGTAAACAAGAATTTTCTCCAATTATTTTATATTTCAGGCTTTAAGGGGTTAAGGTTATTATCCACTCTTGATCCCATGCTGTGGAGCATCCCAGAATTTATGCTGCACTGTGTTTCCAAAATTACCACTATTGAATTATTAATGATCACATTATACAAACATGAAAGCATAGAGAGGGTTCTAAAAAGCCCCCTGCAACTGTGTCATCAGTTAATCTGGTACTGTGACTGATTCATTCAAAGAGGCTGCTTTAAATCAAACCTCCTCAGTGTTTTAGATGTTATATTTAAAGAAATAGTTTTAGAAAGTAAATATGTGGCAACTGGTTATCCTAAAAAAGGCACAGAGACTGGAAGCAAGCAGAAAATATTAGTCTGGAGTAGGAAAAATAGGACTTCTAGCCACTGTGAAAGTTCACTTATCATCAAGTCATATCTGTTTAAAACTTTGTTGACTGCTTTCAGCCTATCAGCACTTAAGAAGACATTCACCACTTACATTAGCCATGCGTATCTGCTGTACTGCATCAGTTTGTTGATTACTTTGCTCTTTCAAAGACAGCGGGATGAAGAGCTGAACTGAACTCTAGGTCACTGGCCAAGTTAGGGCATGAGTGGGTTTTGTTTTAGCAACATGCTGAGTGGGCACATTCGAAGAAATTGGAAGATGTTACCTTTTAATTGAATCCTCATCCCTTTGTTAAAGCCTACTGCCAGATGGGGACCGTTTTTGTTCATTTTCTTGTCATTTTCTCTCACATTTGAGTTCATACTTAAATTGTGCAGCATTCATTAACAGTTGACCTGGTTCATGTCAGATGATCTCTTAAATGGCCCAAAACCCCACAAAACATTGTGCATTTTCCTTCACCTCTGTATGATTTACTCACTCTACTGAATCATTTCAGAGACGCCTCTGTTTGAACTGTGGACGTGAGTCTAACTAATAATTGACTATGTGACCATCAGTCCCATTAATTATTAACTCTGTCCAGTTCAATGACATTCAGTAGAAAGGTATCTGTTTTGTGTTTTATTTATTTTTCACTTCTGGAGACTTTCATGTTGTTAAAAGCCTTAAATGAACTGACTGAAGACCAAACTGTGCACAAATGAAAATGTCTGAAAGTGTGTTTGCTTGCCCTCATTCGCCTCCCCAAAGCCCCCTATGTAGTGCCAGTGAACCAAGTGATGTCACCCATCACTGACTGTGGTGGACTGCATATTTGGAAAACTCACGCTGCTGGGGAAATGAATCTCCATCATAGAAATGCTGTGGGTCAGTGTTTTTTTTTTTCCTCTGCAGACCTGTGACCCGCTACCTCAGATGATAGCAGAGCTCTGCTCCCTGTCTGTACTGTCCTGTCACCGTGAATACATCTTAACTTTGCTCTTTAATGAAAAACATGTTGCCATTATTTTATTTTATTTTATTTTAATGCACAAAGTGACTGAAATCTTCAGCATTTCCAATACTATGCTTAAATCCCATGTCTTATCCTTATGATGTGCATGACTCTTTATGGTGGAGTGCCATCATAGTGCTATTCATTTGTGAGCGCCTCGAGTAATTTCTCATTGCCATATATGAATATGAATGCTTTGTTGTATGTATTCATTGCACTCTATTCGCTCTTTTACTTGTTTTTTTTAGCTGTTTGGTCATATGTGCCTCTAGAAATTATATGTGCCAACCAAAGAGATGCTTTGTTTTAAATTGCATGATTTATTTTTACTTGGTGATTACTATAGACCAAAATCTTTGAGACAATCTGCTGAAGTTAACACACCAAAGCCTAACAGTATTTAGTTGCTGTTATTTTGCCATCTAATCCAGCCACTGGCTTTATTTGCTGCATCTTTACTGCTTCCGTCCTTTTCCATGTATTCTCCCCAAAAAGTGTTCTTAAATATGAATGTGTCTACATTTCCTCTGTTGCAGGATGTGTTGTGAACAACAGTATATGCAATGTATGTAAACACAATTAATTTTAATCATTTTAAAAACAGTAAAAATATTTACTTTTAAGTTATCTGGGTTTTTTTTTTTATTTATGCCTATAGATCATAGAAAACACTGAAGTTCATTTAATCAAGATGTAAAATCAAGTGCAGTAAAACTGAACATGAACAAAAACACTTTATACCTTTGAACCTGTGAGACACTGACATGCCACTCCTTCACAGTTTTTCTCTTATAATCTTTATCTTCTTGTGACCCATGTGTGAGCGTGTGTGATTAGATGATTTGTCTAGATTTAGTCCTTCTGCACTTTTATTAGGTTATGGATCTCAGTAAAGGAACCAGGATTTCTTAACAGTCAGAAAGCACTGCCTGGGGGTGGGGAACACGTACTGATGTGGAGCTGATGAATGTCCTATATGTAGATAATCCAAGGGGCTTGTAATGTTTTTTGTTTTTTTTCTATCAAACCAATATATCCAGTCATATGTTTAATTTCAAACGAGCTGCAGTAGACGTTTGGGATAGAGTGTGTTACTGTGAGACAAAGGGTAACAAGACATTTTTTAAATATACATTTAAATTTAAATACCCCCATGACCCTGAATAGAACAAGCAGTTAAGGACAGATAGATGAATTCCATGTGAAGAATAAATATAATGGCACCGAGTACTACTGTGAGGAACCCTGGCGTCATTGTTGCCCAGCTTAGGACACATGAAACAAATGTAAATATTTGTCTGGACTGTTATTATTTAGTATCAGGCTCCCTGAAAAGCCTTCAAATGATCTAAAATACCGCAGCATGAGTTCTAGAAGAGACCAGGTAGAAATATCACATTTGCCATATCGACTTCTCCTTATTGAGTCCATGTTAAACCTAGAATTGAATTTAAAATCCTCATTCTACTTTACAAAGTCATGAATGATCATGTCCCTTCATATCATATAGGCCTCACAGTAAAATATTATCCCAACAGGGTTCACCTGATTCAGTCAGGATTTAGAGTTCATCACAGCACAGGACCAGCACCAGTGTAGGTTACTCATGATCTTTTTATGGCCTCTGATGGTGGACTCTGTGCAGCATTCTATGCAGGGTCAGCATCGGAGCATATGGGCAACTCTGATAGAGGATTTGATACCAATCACTTTGCTATTCTATAAAAAAACAAAGCCATAAAAGGAGACTGAAAATTCATATCACAGCAAGTAAGAACCACCGTAGGTTCCCAACAGCTAGCACAGCAGACAGTGCTTGCGGTGCTCTTTATTTTTTCCTACAGTGCTTAGTCCTTGTTGTGCATCGTGTGTGTTCAGTGTGTTTTTGCAGCTGCTCTCCTTCTTGTTGCAAGCTCCTCTCTGAATGGTCCCAGCATGCTTCTGCATGAATGGGCGGAACTGATCAGAAAATATGTGACAAGTGTTCCAGACCTGCTCCCACAAAACCACACCATGCTGCCACATGAAGTACACCGCAAAACCTTTAAGATTTACATTTAAGATTGACCCCTGTATGTTTTCTTCTATGCTTACTTGTTACGTCAAGGCCAAACTACTGCAATTTCTTATTAGAACCTCTCTTATAGGTGTTCAGGCTCCAACATACCACAGTGAGAGTGCTACGTGAGGTATTTTAATTAGAAGAAGTTAATTTAAAGTGGAGTATTTTACTAAATAACTACAATTTCACAAGTATCTGTAATAGCTTTGACATTTATCTGAGAGCTATTGTTACCAATACCCTTGAAATTAAAAGACATTCTTCTTCTTGTTCTTAAGGAAATATAAGATTGTATAAATTGTAGTTCATAAATAAGGTCAAATATAATATTTATATGCACTAATGCATTGGCATTAGCAGTTATTCTACATAGCTGAGAATTTACGAAAGAATGTTGGACTTGAAATGTTTAAGGGAGAAAAGGGGATTTTTAAAATTCAGGTCTTTGAAGTCAGTTCAGTTTTATAAATAAAACTGAACTGACTTCAAAGACCTGAATTTATAAATATAGCACCAAATCACAACAAAATTTGCCTCAAGGAGCTTTATATAGTAAAGGAAACACCATACAGTAATACACAGAAAACCTCAACAATCATATGACCCCCTATGAGCAAGAGCTTTAGGGACAGTGGGAAGGAAAAACTCAATTTTAACAGGAAAAACCCTCCAGCAGAACTAGGCTGAGGGAGGATTGAGTGAAGAAGAAACACACAGTGCATCGTGGGATGCCCCCAGCAGCCTGGACCTATTGCAACTTTGCTGCCAAGTAATTAAAGTTCTTACACGCTTTGGTTTTTATTTGTGCTCAGCCAGTTTACTTGGTACAAACTCTAGATGGCGCCATGTGCTTTCACTACAGCCAGGCAGAAAAGGCTTCTAACTACGACTATGGCTGTATCCCAATTCAGGGTCTGCAGCCTTAAAGGCCGCATTTCAAGGCCGATTACGTCACAGCGGCGCGCCGAAGGCTGTCCCAATTCAAAGGCTGCTCGAAATGCGGCCCTGAAATGCGTCCTTCATTTCCCTGAATTTTAAGGCTGTGGCAGTGTAGACTTCGTGGCCCAACATATCCCAGAATGCATAGCGCGGCGGTGGGTGTGGATAATTTTGCCGAAAAAAAACGGCGGATGAGGGGCAGCCGAAGAGTAAACTTTAAGTAAGTACTGAATATTATGTCACTTATTTATGTGCAAATGTTTAATAACGAAGAACATTAAACATTACTGTTGGCCACATGTCGGCAAAGTTATGTGACATTAGTGACGTTTGTACTAACTTGGTTTTAAAGCCTTTACTTTACGCCGTTCAATAGCTGAGCTTAATCTTACAGAGAATGATCAAAGCTCATGTAGAAAGAAAGAAACAAGTGAACAAAAGATTTTCTCCTTCATTTCTGTCAAACAAAGCTGTATGACACGTTTCCAGCTGTTAGTATCATGGTTGCTAGGCAACCTGGGCAGCGTAACGGAGGCTAGACCGTGCCATTTCACAAGCCTCGCACTTCCGGCCTTAGCTGTCTTTGAGTACGCGGCCTTTGAGGATCGTTGATGCTGCGTACTTTAAGGCTGCAGACCCTAAATTGGAATACAGCCTATGACAGGACACCGGCAGCCCTGGATCATTTGGTGCTCTTGAGCTGTGAACAACCAGTAGAAACAGAGGTCTTACTCTGCCATGATTTCAGGGTACTGAAAAGCTCATAAACAAAGCGAAGCGATCGCCTGTTTTGGCACATGGCATTCTGGGTTTTGCATAGGTCCCAGGTCCATTGATTTGCAATAATACGAAAACGCACAGGTGAAAGTGATAACATTACAAAACAGTGCTTGCTGATTAATATAATTAAAGTAAAAAAAAAATATTCAGGTTATTCAAAAGGAAGGTGTCTCTTTACACACGGAGTGAGCATCAATCACAATAGATGATCTTTGCAAACCTTCAGCAGCCATACAGGCAGCAGCTGTTGACATATGGAGGGATTCCACGGCTGCAGCGGTGGTACCCTGCGGTCACAGTCGCATTAAAGATGTCCGACTCAAAAAATCCGTGTATTTAACCAACTGCGGCCTTCAAACACGAGGCGCCAGAACGGGAGGAGATAAAAGACTCGCTTTATTATCTGTAGTCAGTCAGCAGTTGTGCGGCGTTGTGACAGCTCACCATCACTCCCAGCAACACACTCTCTCTCGGTGCTAGACCGACAGCTATGTCTACGTCCGTCACGCGTGACACCGATATTAAAAAGAAGCACGTCCATTTCGCCAGTATGGAGGAGGACGACAACGACGACAAGGAGGAGGACACCCTGTTTGACAAGAGGAAGGACACTGGGCGAGAAATGAAGAACGCATTAAAGGGGGCGAAGAGAAAGACCACACAAAACAGCGACGACCGGGTGGAGGTGGTTGGCGGAGGAAGGGGCGGCCAAGGAGCAGCCGGCCGCTGGATGGTTACGCTCGCGCTCTGTGCATCTTGCCTGGGCTTGGTAAATAGTTAGGAGTGGGAAGTTAGCTTAAACCTGCCGGTTCATTAAACAATTCTCTGACTTTTCTCATTCCTTTAAAAAGGAAATGAATTGGAAATTTTTAAATAAATAAATATAATGTGGTAACTGAATAGATTTATTAAGCTGGTTGGGATATCTACAACAGTTAACTAGTTGGCTAGCTAGGGTTGTATTGATGTTATCCGTTAGCATATAGCCATAAACCGCTAGCTTATCACGGCTGTCCAATATTCATTTGCGTTCTTTGGAATTTCTACTGAAGTCTACTCCAGGAAATGAATTTGAAATGTCAGAAGCTCTGCAGTTACTTATATAGTGCCATAATATAGTAGATTTTTGGCCTGTTATGGTTCTGTCGAGCGTCGTAAACGAAGGAGACCTTTCAATTTAAGTCGTACTTTGTTAGGTTGTTTTTGACTGGCCCCACATGTCGGTTGCCTTTATAGTTGTTATAAAGGTGCAACAGAATGTGAATCTACGTACACAAGGTGGTCACATGTGCTTGTAACTATTGAATAGTAAGCAATATTACGGTTGTAATAGTTCAGTGAATGCAGCAGTATCCTGCACAACCGGATTTTCATAGTTGTAAATCTCGCTCTTCAACCATTTATTCCGCATCAGATTAGTGAAATCCACCTGCACACACTGGACGACTTTCTCCTGTATTGTTAACCTTTTCTCCCCCCATTGGGCCTGGGGAAGAACATTCAAGTTTTGTTGTTTCAGCATCAGATTATCCTGTTAAAAAAGTGGGAAAATGGAAACTTTTATTACAGTTATTTAAGGACTGATATCAATCAGCTCTGATTGATGCCAGTGTCAGCTCTGCAGTTTTTGTTGTCACTGAGTGTGAACTCAGTGTAGAGAACAAAAAACTTGGAGGCTCTGTGAGCAAAAGCTCCACTTCACTTTTTTGTGTGATGCGAAGCAGTTAGATAAGCATGCTGGCACTGGTAAAAGGAACGGATAAACTCTGAGGATTATGATTCCAATGTTCAGTTTAGATTAGATTAGCCTTTGTTGTCTCCCTTCGAAGAAATTTTGCTTTG